AATCTGTTCTGAGAAAAAACTAATAAATGTTTAAAGATAGGAACTTGCCATCCCACTGAAAAACAGTCGTAGAGATTTAAAGGCGTAGTTCAGTCCAACGTTTCATTTGGATTCATTTGACAACAGTCAACTATTTTCATAAAGAATATATATATTTTTCAAAGTCAACTTTATTGTCAATCTTACTCAGTTTGAGAGATCAAAAAGACGTTTAAATACAATTATACAATTTACAGATATGTAAACAAATATATATATATCCTATATACACCATCATGTATAATGATGGTGTATGATGTAGAAGGAAGTGTGGTAGATAACAAGTAAATATAGAGTTACATACAGATCCATGTTACAGCAAAAGATGGAATAACTAAGAAGCACGCAGTATAATAATAATTACATGCAACAATTAAATAACTGCTCAGCATCTCCACCACAATCCCAATCTGCTGTGTCCTGTTTTCCTCCCCTCTGCATAACACCCCATCACACATACGAAACACAACGCAGAGTCCGAAGGTGTTAAGAGTATGTTTATTGAAATGTCCTCCTCTCTACTGGCCAACACAGCAACATATGCTGGGTGTAGAATTGTTCCAGGAGGAGGAGATTTCCATGCCATGCAGGGTCTTTGGGGATGGGGATGATGATCGCCTCCTTCGTGGTCCACACAACAAAGTAGCAGAGACTCCGGTCTGTGATGTGCAGCTGCCCTTGGACCTGGTGCCAGTATGGGTGATTCTCCTTGAGAATATATGACCCACCCTCCTCACGGAGACAGAAGGATGGTAACTGGACTGCCTCCGTGATGGTCATGTTCCTCTGGCTGTGTGGACACTTCACCTCCAGCAGGGCAGATGGCTGCACAAGTCCATCGGGTGATGCTCCCAGAACACCCGACTCACTCACAAAGAGACCAGACTCGATTCGAACACTGTCACTTGATAGGCCTCCACAAAAGCCTTCACCCCTTCGGCCTCGTTTACAACCCCCCAGTTGACAGTTGGCGATGTCTCTGGCCAGTGGGTTGTATGCCTCCTCTCGCTGATGGTAAAGTTGAGACACCGGCTGGACTACTTTGGAAGTGCCAGGCTTCCTCCACTGGCACTCAACATCTGTGGAGCTGATCTGCCACATGGCAAATATTGCCAATGCTGCAGCGTGGCTGCATTTGTACATCTCCTGTGCACAATCACAGACAGCGCTCTGCATCGCGCCATCGTCTCCCATGCAGATCTGTAAAAATAAAGTAAGTACCATTTGTTAGCATGCTATAATAGATTGAATGAGCAATAATACAAGGATGGTCCGGATCTGGGGGTGGGAGGGTTTATTTTTCCATAGTTGTGTCCTCTTGTCTGTTGTTATTGTTTGTTTTTCTGTATTTTTTGTAATTTGTGTTGTATTGGTTGTGATTGTACATTGTATTTTTCTAAATGTGTATGAATACGTTTTTGAAAAACATTTGATCAACAATAAAAAAGGATTTGGTCAGGATCTAGACTCAGTGTGTAGTTTATTAATTAATCAATGCTCTCTACATTAGGAAAACACATACCGGTGTACCAGAGGGAGTCACACACAGCTGTGACTAGATAACCAAAATCCTTGAATCGACACACAGCAAATAAACTCAAATGACACAACGAGAAAAAGGAGATCACACATACAGTATAGTCGATATAAAACTGGCCGCTTCAATCTGAAGAGCAACAAAAACAAAACACGGGAGTGTACCTTGTTCTTGTGAACACTAATGTTATCCACAGCATACACAGAGACCACGAAGTTCTTAAGGAGAAAACTAGTTGCTAAAACAAAACACGTTAGTGTACCTTGTTAGCTAATGTTAGCTAGCTGACATTAACGTTACACATTGCACTCATATTACTCACCGAAACCTTGTAAAGCCGGTCCCGCATGCTGGCTCTTACAGAACCGACTAACTCCCCTTTCATATAGGTACAGCTCTCAACGTGCCCAGACTTGTAGTGATTTTCACCTCGTAAAATACTTTTATTCTCATTCTGAAAGAATGTGGTGAAATGTGCTAACGTGACGGCCATCTTTATGTTGGTGACGCGTATTGTGCGAGACGAGAGACCTGTAGTTCACTGAGCGGTTTCACACGAAAAAATGTGTAACTTCACAGTTTTACGACACATTTTTATTTTTTTGACTTGCAAAATGTTCTTTTAAATTGACAAACATCATATGTGTCATTCGTGGCAGAATTCAAACGGGATCAAAAGATAACCTTTCTCTCTCCATTGACTTCAATGTATAATTTTCCGCTTCCGGGGTCCCATGGAGGCTTTCGGAAGGGGAGGGACTTCGCCTCTCTATTGTGTCTGTTTTGATCCGCTCTGTGTGCATTTACGGTAAAACACTGCGGTCCCACAGACAATATTGTAATATATCTTTAACAATCAATACCTGAAATGGGTAAAGATGGTCGCTTAACGTAAGGTAGGCTACAACCTGCCTCAGCGCCCCTAAACGTCGGCACAAGAGCAGACATGCAGAGCCGGACCGACGCAGTAAAGTTCTACACCGCCTGACAGCAGACATGAAACAATAATTTAAAACAAGACGTACCGCAAACATGCCGCAAGCTCATCCATCGGCTATGACTCCCCCCTCCCCACTGAGCTCGGTTTAATGTGCATAACTTTGGGCAAGATTAATAGTTTTAAATATTGTAAAGTGTAGAGCCGATGAATGGGAGTCGGAGGCGGCGTGTTGATTATGGAACTCCACACTTTATTTTCCATTAGTTTACAGAAAGGTAGGAACAACTTCTTTACATGCTACTCAAGCTAGAATGATAACAAACCACAGGAGGTGCAATTTAAACCAATAAATGTCGTATAATTAACAAGGATAAACTGATGTGTTTTAGTTGATGAGTACTGCAGATATCACTGTTAAATCATTGGTTTTATTATGAAAACGTCGAGACCGGAAATACTGTTTTCAACCCGTAACTTTACATGGAGGCTGCCGCATACCTCAAATCATCTTCGTAATATCTATCAAACTATAGATCCTACATATCGACTGGACGTGGATTCTAAAAGTACAATATACACTTCTCCTTAGAAATCTAATCAAAAAGCGTTTTAATGGCCAAACTATCCTACAATTTAGAATTTTACAGAGAGGGTTATTTGTGAATAAACGACCATCTGTAACGTTTGCATTCAACGGTAGCACAAGAGGGCGAAAACTTTAAAACGTAATAATAGGACGTATTAAGCGCTTGAACAAACAACATACTTGGTCGTAATAAGGGCCTGAACAATCGGCCTATTTGGTCGTATGAGTTGGAGGACTTGTTGTAGCATGTACAATGAATGTCGAAGTCAAAGGGCAGATGCAATGCCATGCATCTTCCTTTACATGTTTCTATGACTTTTGGTACAGAAGTAAAGAATGTAAAACTATAATTCATGGTTGATTCAAAGTCCCAACAATGAATGAATTAGTGAAGATTAACCTTTACTAAGTAAGTGGAAATGTACCTTAAATTAAAACTGTGCATAAGTACATGCTCACAGAGCGCCTAGTTTGGCTTCAATACTTTAGTCCGGTCCAGTTTTTGTGTGAAGAGTTTTGTCATCAAATATACACAGTAGTGCTTTTATGTATCAACTGGTTGATTCTCAAGCCCAAAAAAAGTCCCCTGTCAATTCCTGTTTTTCCTGTTAGGGTAGAACACCTCACCCCCTACTGTCTAGGAATGGGTAGATTGGTGGAACACTTCCTCTAACCTGAGCACAAGGTGTGGCGGTCGGTTTTGCAGGTTTTGCAGGTGTCGAGGTTGCCTTTTGAGCTGCCTATGCATAGTGAGTGTGGGGGGGGGGGGGGGGGGGGGTGATTTGTTATTTATGTAGTAACCCCTGTTAGTTAAGTGCTTGTGTTGGATATGATGCCTCAAACTGCTGGTACTTCAATGTGAAACCTTATTACATGTTATTTGTTTTAAATGCAAGTCTTTCTCTGCTCAAATATTAAACAGTAAGTAATGAAAAGCATGTCATGTTCTGCAACTCTGGATAGCAACATTGTTCTAAACACTTAATTCAGTGCAAACTATTTGTTTTCAAGGGTAAGGCCTGGTGAAAACTGTATTTGAATCACACTGCATTCATGTTATGGCATTATTCTGCTGACATTTGTCAAAAGACAAAACAGAAAGGGGTGTTTTTAAAAATGTAAAGAATGGATAAAAAAAGATAAATCTTCAGCTGTCCAGGTCACAGCTCACTCACATTGCAAACAGGTTAATGCCACTGGAAACTATTTATTGCAAATAAACTATGCAAAACTGAGATTAGATACGGCAAAGGATAAAATCACAACAAGCATGTGATCAGAAATGATTACCCGTGAAAAGATTAAACACATTAAGTGTCACGATTCTTGTGTTATGTCACGTTTTTAGTTTTGTATGTCTTGTTATGGGTGTTTTGCTGTTCTCCCTGTCATGTTCTGACGCTGATGAGCACAGGAGACACAGAAGGGAAACAGGTGAACACAATTAGACAATTAGACACACCAGGGAAACTAACGGCAGGGAGGAAAACACAGGGAGAAGGACCAGACAATACACAAGGAGGAAAACTGAAGTTACCTACTGTAACTCCAGCTTCTATGAGTATTGGCGTAGCCCTCTAAGGCTATCGCTATTGGGTAATCCCCCTGCGCACCCGCGCAGCACTGAAACACTTGTAGTCCACGCCCGCCCGCCCGCAAGGTGTAAATAGGAAGGAGGCCCGACAATCTGCTCCCTCTTTTCTTCAGCACACCGTTACTGAAGCACAAGAGACACTTCAATTGCAGAGTAAACATGAGTAACAATTGTGTGAGATATTGTCCCTCATGTGGCCCTGGGTTCATAATGAGTTATGACCAGCACACAGTATGAGAATCCTGCCTGGGGTCAGAGCACGCGTACGCGGCTCTAAACCAGCAGGTATACACACACTGCAGGCATGCACACACTGTGCCCGTCTCCCCTCGGGCGACAGGAAGCGGAGAGCGGACGCTCTTGCTGCTGCGGCCGAGGAGGACGATTGGCCCGTCCAGGCTTACGAGCCTGCGGACGGGGCCTCGTGTCCCTGGGGCCGAGTGCCGGGCAGGAGTCCGACAACTCCTACCCCGCCTCCCTCCACGGTTCACCGTTCGGTTCTCCCCTCCCTCCTCTCCCCCGGACAGGGGAGACAGAGTCGGAGCAGGGTGCCAGCTTGGCGGCCGAACATGCTTTCCCCCTCTCCGTCACCACAGCGCTACCGGCGATAGGTGGCATCCTAGGGGAACTGCCGGAGATCATACGCAAGGCGGCCGCCTGCAGAGATCTCCCCGTTCCCCTAGCTCAGGAGAGGTGTGCTCCGGACGACATGAACGGAGTTTTTTCGCGGGTGCAGACGGTCAGGAGTGACCCGATCTGGCCACGCTTCCCGGCCATCAGGAGGTTCCAGGAGGGGGCGATGGGGAACCCGAGGACCCTGAATGCTCCGGTGGCCACATTTGTTCCCCTCACCAAGGTGGAGGGGTTCACAGATGCTGGTTTCCCAGACCCGTCCTCCGGACCCCCTCCACCCACCCTTTTGGATATTTTGTTCTGTCACGATTCTTGTGTTATGTCACGTTTTTAGTTTTGTATGTCTTGTTATGGGTGTTTTGCTGTTCTCCCTGTCATGTTTTCCTCCTTGTGTATTGTCTGGTCCTTCTCCCTGTGTTTTCCTCCCTGTCGTTAGTTTCCCTGGTGTGTCTAATTGTGTTCACCTCTTTCCCTTCTGTGTCTCCTGTGCTCATCAGCGTCAGCCCCGCCCCTGATTGTCCCCACCTGTGTCTTGTTAGCCTGTATTTAAATTCCCATGTCTCCCAGTGTTCAGTGTCAGTTCGTCTTGGCTTTTGCCATGGTCAGGTCTATGCTCTTTTGTGCTCAAGAAAAGTTTTGTCATCTCAATCTGAGATTAGTTAGTGACCATTTTTTGTTCATCGTGTTTTGGAAAAATAAAGTATCTTACCAATACTTTACCTCTGTCTCCCGGGTCGTGCAATTGGGTCCTACCTGAGTTCTTAACATTAAGTGTGATCGTCACACATACAAGTTTAATATTGAATATGTTTACATACCTGTGTAACTTTGAGGGATGACTAACTATGATTTGGTGATGACATGATGCAGGTCTTTGAGTTTCCTGAAGTGTTAAGGACCCAAAAGGCATGATTTATTTATCCTATTATGTAGTCTGAACTAATGAATGTGTTTTCTTTTCAAATAAAGAATCCTCTTTACATATGAAGTAGATTAAAGCGCCCCATTACCCAATTCCTAACAAAGATTGTTCACAGAAGTTCAAAATAACCAGGGATATTTATAAACCTGGCAGGATATATACCAAAGAACAATTTATTAAAATATAAATATATATATACAAATGCTTCTGTCCTGTGGAAGATGCATTTCATAACTAAAATAACGAAAGTAGGCATTGCTGTTAGAACATGGGTTTTCAACTGCCTTTAAGTCACAGCTGGTAATGTTTTTTAAGTACTGTTTATTATTATATGTTATTTGTAAAAAAATATCTCTGAATTGACCTATTTGAAAAAAAAGAAATAAAAATGACAAAAGTTACATTTACACAACTTTGAAAATAATATAATGAATCATTGGGCATGTGAGCAAACCACAACGGTGCACTCTGAAGGCTTGTAAACTCTCACATAGCCACAGGGCTAAAGTCAGAGGACTAAATGTGAGACTGCATTGTTAGTTACCTGTCTTTGCCTTGAATCAAGCCCTTTTGTACACAGTGGATTAGAAACTGACTGGGTGGATTTGTGAGCCTCCTTTAGACATGGAAATGCACATTAACAAAGCAGGTCTTACAGTTATATAGAGAGCCTTGCCAGAGAGGTTTAAAGTGCATTTAACAATATCTCTACAGAATTGTCCTTAAGGAATTAGGATTAATCATATATTATATTATATATAAATATTCACATGGCTGTATACTAACGGGATTTAAAAATTATCCCTAGGAATTACTTTTAAAATACAACAATAGGCTATAACAATTTCTGAACATTACATTGTTATGCTCTCTAACATACTGCAATGAAATGGCATTTTTCTAATAAACAACTACTTAGCACGTTTAGAATCACCTATAATTGCCATGGCTGTGTTACACCGCATTTTTTAAATGTCATAAGGAACTATAGACTACTTTCTAATTGTTTGACCGATTGGATGCATTTTGATGTGCATATTTTTATTAGCTTACAAGAAAAAAGGGAATTCTTGACTACTCCTCTGGGTGAGTCATGTACCAGGAATGCTCATCTGATAGACTTGTTTCCAGAATGTTGGAAAACCTGATTCATTGTCAGAGTGGTTTAAATTCCTGTACTTTTTGAAGCTACCTTACTACAGTCGTAAATTTGTGTGGTGTGTCACAGCCATTCAGACTTAAAGGAGTCACATGGGGTCTTTCATTAGATTATTTCCTATACTTCTTGTTAAACATTAAGCTGTCTTTGGCTCTTTTCTGCTGGAACAAATGTAAATGTCCCCTCTGCGGTACGATTAAAGGTATTCTGATTCTGATAATATAACTTTGCACAATGTTTTCAGAACTGTCTTCAACATAGAAATGACAAAATTGGTTGTTTCTTATTTTTGTTAAATGTGTTTACATTGTTTTGTTTGTTTTCTCTCTGAATACCCCTTGTTTTGTGTACTTATTTTTCTTTTTGTTTGTGCCAGATATCAACTTTGTGATCTAAGAAAATAGAGATATGAGTTATTTTTGAACACTTCTAAAATATGTTAAATGAAACATGATTTAAAATCAAGAGGACCAACCTTTTCTGAGTTCCCATCAACGTGATGAGCTTATACATGTGTATAATACATTTACCACAATGCATTTATTTACAGTAACACATGAAATAAAGTTGTACATATGTCAATTAGGTTCCTATATTGATCAAAATTATATGTTAGTAAATATTTGATTCAAACAGATGTAATAAGACTTTGTTTACTTTTCTTTTTCATCTTTTTGCATTTAGATCTATTACACCTTGGGTGTGTATTGCTGTGATCATTTTTCTTTTTTTCAGTCTACCCAGTAAACCTACACAAACCTTTTCAAAAAGGGAATACAAAAACAGTCAATGGCATTTATTGTCAGATGTTTGACAATGCTGTCACTGTCAGTGAAACACACATGATATCCTCACGGCAGGAACAGAACATCCAATGTTCTGGTGTTATCCTTGGAAATACCCATGCACGTGACATTACGGTCTCTTAGAACAAATATTGCCATGTTACTAGATACTAAACCATAGAGGCTTTAGAATGTGTGCATAAAGCCCCTGTCACACTGTCCCGAAATTGACACCCGATGGACACACGATAAAGGAAATGTTCAAATTCGGCTGTGATCGTAGCAACATCGGGCCATTCGTGAGGGCATCTTATGCCCCGGCCACACGAGGACAAAAACGGCCGTTTGCGTTACTGTTTAGTGTCATATAGACCATTCGGCCATACGAGGACGACCGAATACGGCACTAAACGACTGAGGAAACGATAACGGGTCCCAAGGTGGATAGAACGGCATACGCAACGCTCTGGGGGGTCCAACGGCTCCGTGTGTACGCCCTATACGATAATTTTCCGATAATGATGAGGCAATAGCCCCGCCTCTCCCCACCTCTGCTGCTCACCCCCGCGTCAAAGTAAACTGCACACTGAATTCAGATTATTTATCTTTCTCTCAATATGAACATAAACGCGAGTGAAGTCTAATCTGACAGGACGGAGACACGCAGCTCTGCTCACCTGCAGCTCCTCCCGCTGTGATGCGGCGGTGAACGGAGTAAAACACACACTTCAAGTCAGATCATCACCCTTAGCTATTTTATTTATTACCTCTCAAACTACCTAAACTAGTTATAAATATGTTTATTTTTACTGTCGGCCGAGTCACTCATTACTGGATCAGCTGCTGCATGAAACAGACACTGGCGTGCTGTCCGAAGAGAGGGAGGAAAAAGAGAGGCTCCGTGTATTTTATTATTATATTATATAGAGTCGTTATTCATTTGTTTTAAAGCTCAATAAATAACAAAGAAGACCTTTGACCGGCACTTTTATAATTTTGTCGGAAGATTTAAACTTTAATACACGTTGACTGGCGAAAAACTCTGCCCGGTTCCCTTGGCCCCCACCGTGGAGAATAAACAGAAGGGCAACCATGACAACCATGCTTCTTCGCTGCTTTTGTGGAGGAAGTTACAGCACCACGTACAGGCTCCTGCATATGTACTGCAGCTTCTCCAGCGGTTGGAGCTAAACGGAGCGGTCTCGTGTGGGCAGACACTATCCGGATAACTATTGCGTGTGGACGGAAGCTTGTTTACGATTGCGTTTGCGTTAATCCTATGCGTTTAGCCGTTTTCGTCCTCGTGTGGCCGGGGTCTTAAGCCATCGTATGACCGCCGGTGGAGTTTCTCAGGCTCCGGCAGCAACTTCGTGAGCGGCAACTTCGTAAGGCACTCGTGAGGGCATCTTGTCAAATCGTGTCATCTTCGTGTTATCATCGGTGCATTCACCCTCACTCTGATCGTGGCGAATGCCCGATGGCACCGATGATAACAAGATGCCCTCACGATGGCCTTACGAAGGGCAACATTTACACACGAATTCAACACGAAAATGAACCTTCGCAAGGTCCTTCGGCAATTTTTTGGCATGCCAAAGATTTTGCCACCGCTCACGAAGTTGCTGCCGGAGCCTGAGAAACTCCACCGGCGGTCATACGATGGCTTAAGATGCCCTCACGAATGGCCCGATGTTGCTACGATCACAGCCGAATTTGAACATTTCCTTTATCGTGTGTCCATCGGGTTGTTTTATTGCACAACAAAATCATGTAAATATATTATGTAAATAACCCAATTTGTGTTCTGTGAAACTAAAAAGGATATAATATATTATTTTGAAGGACAGTTGACAGGAAGTTGTTGTTGTTATGGAAACAACATTACGGAGAAAACGTAATATCTTCTACATATAAAGACGGATAAAGTAAAGAACAAAGTCTGAAGATATCAGTACAGTATCATAGTACTGTAACATAATTGTTTTTGGTACTTTCATTGCAGTTGTATGTCTTAAATTTAATGTAAATGTTGCCTTCGTGTGTGGTTCGGGGCCATCTTCGTGCGAAATTCACAATTCCATATTCGTGTGTCCATCGGGTGTCAATTTCGGGACAGTGTGACAGGGCCTTAAAAGGTATACCAAATTATGCCTTTCTCAAACAGCAATACATTGCACACACAGGAAACAAAGATGATATATTTTCACTATTTTTGACGAAAACAAGATAAATACTCTTGACATTATGTACTTCCTGTTTTATTTCTGTGACAAAGAGAGGATTAAAACGTGGTAGGGAAAGTGGGGTAAATTGAGCCATTTTTTAGTAATGCTGTCCTCTAAGCAAGGAGAAATGACACATAGTA